AAACTAGGTTGTTAAAAACAGTCCGGTCAACTTGTATTTCGTTAGGTTTTTTTGACAGATGGCTGTATTTCGTTCGTTTTTCTTACACAGCTGTTTGCATTTTGCCAGACGAGTTATTTTCTTAGCATAAACAAAATGGAAATACAATTAAATTAAGTACGTTATTGTCTTGCTACTTTAATTTATTTTTTTAATGTAACAAATCTGTTTTACGCAAATTTTAATTTCATTAATTTGAATTTCGTCGTTTTCTTCTTTACATAGATCTATAACTTCAACATCTATCATATGTTCTTCGGACAAGTTCTTTTTCTTCCACAAATTGTACCAAAGAATGAGTTCACTTCCCATACCTGTATCCTAGACCTGTTTAAAATGCTTCCAGTTCTTTTGTACCTATTCACTGGAACATTTAATCGAAAACAATGGGTGCAATCTAGACAGCGAAAAAGCTGGAGTATTTTCATTGGAAAAGCGTAGTTGTAAAAACACCGTTAGTGAATCCAGATACGATATTATTATAGACCGTCGCCAGTACTCATATGCATTGAAAGATGGCGGTTACTTCAGTTTTTTTGTTTACCTGATTCCTATATCAGCTGCAATCATACGAGATTTTTTTATTAACTCCGTAGTGACCCCTTCTGCATTCTTTCGATCATTCTTAACCACCTCCAAAAAAAATATTTTCAATATGCTGATCAAAGTCGATGAGGTCTTGAAATTCACTGCAATTCACTAATACTTTTACAAAAACCACCCTTTCTTTAAATTTTTGTAATTAATTATTTATATGAATCACATATCTTTAGAATTTAACACAATCAAACCATGTTCTGATATAAAATTGTGAGAAGGATGCACAGCTGCATGCAAATAAAAACAAAAAAAAGGCAACCAAAAATGCATTTTTAAAATTGAGGTGTTAACATTTTTTTCGATTTTTAAAAATTCAAATCCGGTTGATTTGGCTGTTTTTTTTCGAAGAACACTGTTTTCTTACGGTCAAGGAGTAATTTTGGGTCAATGGCAGCATTTTTCCGTGAAAGGGAATAACATAAGCTCTCAAAACCATTTTGTTTCATATCAAAATGTTGCTTCTGTCGAAAACGCTACACTTAATTCGCATGGAGTGTTCAAAACGCACACTGTGTGGCGCAATCTTATATGTATTCTATCATTCTTGAGCAGCTACGTACCAAATCCGTCAACGGGGCCCTGAAACTACCGATTTCCCATGATGCAATAATACAGGTGTTATCAGTTGGCAACTCTCGCTCTAATTCCGCCATATTGACTGCCTTAGGTGAGACAGTTTTACTTCTTTAACAATTCTTTGCCTAATAATATAATTGAATATTTTTTTATTTTTTCTCAGTATGCACATTTTTTTCTTAAAAAGGTATTTTATCTTATTTTATTTCATTTCATTACGAATATACTATAAAAAAGCAAATTTTGTTTAGGAAAAAATTTTAAATTTTATATTTTTCCCCCAAATGGGGCTTAATTTCTTCCGGTTTTTCTTCTCGTTCTACTGAGCTAAGGCAGTGTCAATTCGAGCTGTCACAATTGATACCACCTTGTATTGCATCATGACGATTTCCATGATAAAAATATAGCAAGGTAGAACCGTTCTCTCAATTTGTCGGCCATGATTTTTTTTTTGAAGTTTGCCAACATTTTAAAATCATATAAAAGTGAAAATAAAAAATTGAAATTGTTCGAAATTGTTGTTGCTTGAGATTGAAAATGAAAATGTGTGTGTGAGTTTGTGAGTAAATTTAAAAAATTAAATTGTTTGGAAACGTCAAGAATTTTAAAAGTGACTCTCAGCGGTTCTACCTTACTATATTTTTATCATGACGATTTCCATCATAAGCGCCAACAACGTTGAATAACTCGCAAAACGTCAACTACTCGAATGAACCACCCCAACAAAAATGACGACAATAGCAATATATATGTACATATGTATGTATATATGTACATCCATATGATATATACATACATGCAATCACACCCAATTCAAGTGACTGCCTATACACAGCAGAGTGGCGTTGCGCTGTCGACGCTGGTGCTGTGTGGTGACGCGCACTACATATCAGACCGACTTGGTTTTTTACAGAAAGGCATCAAAATGTTTTCATTCGTTTGTTGAATATCGAATAAAACGGTTCCATAATCTCTCCCCGGGCTTAACAAGCAAATAAAGAAAGCAAATACATATATGTTTATTAAACAAAACTGAAACTTATTGAAAATTCCGGAGCTAAACATAAACAAAAAGCAGTTACTAAATAATTTCAAGAGATTTTACTTTTTATTAAAGTGCAAGTGCAAAGCGAATTTTGCAAACATAGAAAATTAATAAAAGCGCAGAAAATAAAAATTATTCACATGAATAAAGTACTAAAACATTGTTACAAAGAGTGAATTTAATATTTTTCCTGTAAATTTCTGGACAGCGTTGGATAACTTTATAAAATCGACAATTTTTAGTGAGGAACAAAGACACAATGGATATTACAATATTGCCTTCACCGCCAGCAACGCCACCATTGTGCGAAAAACAAATTGAAGCTGTGAGTGCGCCAATACTTTCGAAAAAATGTTTTATATTAAAACTTCGATATATGTACATGTGTATGTAGATACGTAAGAGTATGTATGAACGTATAAAAATATTTGTGTAAGTGCATAATTTTTGTTGCATGCTCTCAGAGAGTGACACATTAAATTTGTTATTATCGGTTAACGCAACAACAACAACGTCATTGTAATAAAAAATAATAATTTGCAACTCTGTCTCAGCGGATGCACACTCCCCCTTTTTTGGAAATAGTGAATTGAATTTGTATACACATGTATGTATGTACATATGTATGTATTTTCGCTTTCAATGACTTAATAAGCACCTACATTAAATTTCATCGCACATAATATATTCAAAGTAAATGTAATTTATACCACGTACATACATATACATATATGTATACATTCATACCCAATCGGAAAAATGAGAAGCGATTCTAAGTGATCGCCTTCAGGAAGGAATTATTCAATAAGTCCTCTTTGGAAACTTTATTAGAATATCTTCCAATAACGCTGTAAAGTGTAAATAATCGGGCATGTAAGGCCTATCGCTTCAAAAGTTCCGCATTAAAGGCTCGCAGAAGGCCGCTTTGTTTCCAACTTTGCCGACTGGGTATGTATGCACATACATATATACATACACATGTATGTATTTATGTATGTCCATATACATACTTCGTGATTTTTGGTATTTTAAGAAATTAAGTACCCACTGGGAAAATAGGTAAGCACCTTACGAGGTAAGCCATGTTTTCTTTCAGTTTTTAGTACCAAAATTGTCATCATGACCAGCGTAATCTACTAGTAAAGCACAAAATGAACACCTCCGGCGACACATTACGTTGTCAGTTGCAAAATAACGTGCAGCCGAAGTTATTTCCAAGCACCGAACTACTCCGAGCGACTGCTCTGCATTACACGTAACTTACTTTGTAAAGCGACTCAGAAGTATGTTTGATAGCAAATGTACATTCTAAATTCCTACTTACATAAGGCGGCCATGCCTTTGTAAAAGTAAGGGACGTTCGGCAGGGAAATGGTAATGACTGCCAGGTGAAGAGTAAGTTGCTAATAAGGTATTATTACGTGCTCCTAATTCCCACTGGGTACACTCAAATAAAAGTCGCTTACAATTTCAATAAAAAGTAATGCAAGGTTTTTGGTAAAAAAACCAAGAGTGTTAAAATTCTCCCAACGATTTTTAACTGAAAATTTGTACGCAAAAAAGTCTTAAATTACCTACCCAGCAAAAAAAAATCCGTTACCTCTGAAATGAATGTGGAATCGGAAGAAAAGCTCGTAAGCGCTTCCCCTTTCGCTTCTAGAAGCCATTACTTTAACATGGGCATGTCATTGCCGGTAATGGCTTGTAGACGACTTTACCACTGCAAAAATCGCGACTACTCCATGCATGTGTGTAAAGAGTACTCCCTAAGGATCAAGGAGTACTCCAAAATTAACCACAATTCATATAAAAAATATGGTCCAATTAACATTGCGATGTCCTAGGGCAGGACCATATACTCCATCAATGCTTTACATCAGAGTAGCACAAAACTACTCCAACATATTAACAATGACATTGTTGTTATATTTTTTCGTTTGTACACTCATTTCTTCTTCACTTCACAGATGCTTTTTCGAAATTAATAAAAACCAAAAACAAAAATTAAAAATCACATGTTGCCTCTGACGGCATTCGAACCCGAACATGCTGGGAGCTAACTAACAGCGAGCATCTCTACACGGTCAGCTACAGCCAGACATGCAAATGTGCTTTCAAATGCTCAACTTCAATCACATTTCGTTAAAACACGAGCAGTGATCGGGTAACAAACAATAAGCTGGCGCAGAGACACGAGTTGGTCCGCTACAGCAGGACAGAGGAACACTTTTGTAAGTACTCCAATATATCACAAATGGACTACAAGGTCCAACGATTTTTGCAGGGTACATTCCCCGTAATGGATTAAAGAAGCGAAAGACAGTTGAGACATTCGAAAGTAATTCGATGCACAAAATATCGAATCCCTTTAAGTGGCAACGTGTTACCGACATACATACATACAGTCAGTGACATGACATAAATTTCCAGCGTGATATTTTTGTTAATTTTGCTTTTGAACGAATTTTTAACGCAAATAAAACATGACTTTTATGTTGCATATACTTTGTGTTTTGACTTAAGCGCCAATTCTGTGTAAATTTTTCGGAAATCTGTGATTTATACAGGCCGGTTCTGAACTGAAACTCCCTGAGAGTTTTCTCTCTTTTCCCTTTCCTCCCATTATGAATAAAAATTCCTCGAGGATGTTTTATCTTAAATGGCGGAGTTAAGCTGTCAAAAAAGTGTCAAACAGCTATTTCGAAGTGCGAATTTACTCCTCCCAAATTTTCGGGGAAAATGCTACTCCCTGGGAGTTAATCATTGGAGGATTTCTTTCTCGAGAATTGTGATGATTATGTTTCAACCACATACACCAAATTCGAACCAAATCCGACCATAAATACGGTTTTTCAAAAAATCTCGGCCCTGGCGTCACCTATCAAGACCATTGTTCGCAAAAATGTTTCTACGTATGCAAGTATATATTTTAAAAAGCAGACGATATGGCCCATAAATACGTTAGATATATGACTTTTATTTTTTACTTGTCGCGGTAGACCTTTCGATGGAAATACCCATATGTACATACATCCATGCATACATATTTCCATGTATAGAAATTTTTTACGACCACGCGAAGCATAAAAAGGTAATAGCAGAAGAAACAGCAGAAATCTTTCACATAGTCGTATGACAAAACCTCGTACCTGGATATGCAGGAGCGGAAAATTGACATCTATGATACCGTCATGTTAATAATACTAGTCGCTAACATTGAAAAAGGATGGAACGTGAATTAGTTGGGCTGTAAGGCAAACAGTGTTGCCAGAGAAAAATTTCGTTTGGAGCTGAAACGGTCGAAAAAGAGAGCTTAATAATACTAATAGTAGCTAAAATGAAGAGCTACATATTTTTGTTAAGGTTGAGCATTTATTGACGTAATGGGCTGTTTTTGCTTAAGCGTAAAAGCACATTTAGCGCATTTAGCTCCAAATGCTACTCTAAATGTACATTTATCCATACAAAATTCGTCACCTAAATGCAACTAAATGCAACTCCACTTTTTCACTAAGAATCTAAATGCCAAAGCAACCCTGTGATCTTCCAAAATTTCCACGATTCGAACATGGTTTAAAGAGAAAAAGTGGCAACATTGCTTTTTCGAGTATACAGTTGCTAGCTGCGTTTCAGTGATCGCCGATTGAGATTTCTTTTATTTTACATTACATATTTGGATAAAGAAAAGTTAAGCAAATTCAACATCGATGTGATGCTGATAGAAATCTGGATCAATTTGTGATCAACTCTGTTTGGTTTGTTTCCTAATTAGGTGAGGAATTTTTAATTGACAGCACCGACAAATGAATATATACACAAACAAATGTTTGGTTATGGTTAAAACCATTCAAGTTTTTGTATTGAATTTTTGGTTTAAAATTTATTTTTTCCTTTTCAGTATGGTTTTTGCACATTTTCTTCTGTGTGAGAATTGATCTTAATATATACGGATCTAAATAAGAGACTGGAACACGGCTGTTTAACAAAATCATACGATTTCGAACTCGCGTAAATGTACATTTGCTAAATGCTATAGCATGAACGCTCTTCGAAAACATATGTTCGAAAGTGCTAAATGTTGCATTTTAAATGCAGCAAAAACGCTGCATAAGGTTGTTTTTATATTTTCGGAAATTTTAATAAAAACAACGACTTTTATAAATTTAAGTGCTGAAAAATCTTTCAAAACCAAAATAAGGTGCATATATTTCGAATTTGTTGCTATGGCACTTATAACAGTGAACTAAAAATACTTTACAAACTGTCAGTCTGTAATTTCAGATATTTGAATTGAACAATTTTTTCGCAAAATTTTTCTGTAAAGTTTTACTTCCAGCACTCCTTAAAGGTAAAATTAGTAAGGTAAAACAAAATCTGCGTTATCAGAAAAAGGTTTTTCTTTTAATTAATTTTTGAATTCTTTAACCGAGATTCAAGAGTTTATGGTGGATACACTACATCTCGAAATTTTCCATTTTATCAACGCTTGAATTTTGGCTTATATATACTAAATACAACTAAAACTTTCTGGAGCTAAAAAAGGTGCTAGATAAATTTGAAAAGAGCTAAAAAAGAGATAGGAGCTAAAACCCAATTTTCGGAGCTAAAGAGATAAAACTAAATCTAGCTCCAGAAGCACCAAAATGGCAACACTGAAGGCAAATAGGTAGCATTAGCTTACAATTAGTACCTCTCTACAGGGCTACTATACTACATACATATATGTACATAGATACATGCATATGTTCCCATTAACGTATCTACACCCGTGCTCCTAGCAATGAAAAAATTTGTTTTTGCCCGTCCATCGCTTTCGAGCGCACGCATTTTGTGAAAACAAATCTTCTCCATCGCATTCGCACTCAGCGCCGGTATTGTAATCACGCCGTGTTCACTCGGCCGTCAGCTGGTGTTCACGTGAACAGAGCATGGCCGTCATGCCTCCAGATGGTAATCTATATGCTTACATACATATGTGTATGTGTACATGCATACAAATAAAAATTTCATCACACAGATTCACCCATGCTCGCCCATCTGACTAGCCCATTTTTTCCAATTAGCACTAGGTTGTTGTTGCCTAGTCAAGTGGATGGAGGATAAATTGGGCTGTTGCGCGCTCCCTGCTATTTATTACATATTCTCGCCGCGGTTGCCACTTGTTATAAAAATAACCAACGAAAATCTGAAGAAAATAACCCAAATTACAAAAAAAAACGAAATTTGTTATTCACGTATCTATTACAAAAAGCAAAACTTATTACAAAAAGAAACAAAAATTCAACAATTTTATTGAGCTTTAGGCCGGATTTTTTAAATGAAAAT